ACCGCTCACAGCAACCTCTTGGGCTTAGGCTATTCTCTTGCCTCAGCCTCCCGAGTAGCTGGGACTTCAGGTGCCTGCCACAACGCCTGGCTATTTTTTTTTTTTGAAGTTTGGCCAGGGTCGGGTTCAAACCCTCCACACTCAGTGTGGTGCCCTACTCACTGAGCCACAGGTGCTGCCCAAAAGTAATTTTTTTTGGCCATTGCTGGGTTTGAACTGCCATCTCCGGCTTACGGAGCTGGCACCCTACCCTTTTGAGCCACAGGCGCCGCCCCCCCAAAAGTAATTTTAAAGAGAAAAATAAATCCTAGTTTGAACGGCAGCATGTGTGATAGGAATGGGGTGCTTGAAGTTGAGGGACATCGATGTACTACTATTCTTTTTGAATTTAGATAATGTAAATAAACCGATTTGTGTAAAGGTACTATTTCTGTTTAAAAAATTAAAATATTTTCATGAATGAAGGATGAAGTATTTTGCATACTATGAAATATTAAACATTGTTTGGGTTCTGCTAAATTTATTGCAAACTTTCTTTTTCTCTAGGGTTTGGATTCAGGATTTGTTCCTAGTGTTCAGGACTTTGACAAGAAGCTTACAGAGGCTGATGCTTACCTGCAAATCTTGATAGAACAATTAAAGGTACGGCATTAGTTTATATATTGAATCCATATAGTGTAGTGAGTATCACTGAGCTTGATTTTTGAGTAAAAACAGTTACTTGATGTTAATTTATGGTCCTCATGTGCTTCTTTAGCAATTCTTAAAATGACTTCTTCAAAGATCTTTATCTCTAATCTACTTACATTGGTAAATTATATATGTATATAATGTACTTTTTTGGTCTTAAGGAAAAGGTAAATATGTAGATCATATTTAGAAGAAAATAAGGGAAGATTAAATTCATATTCTATTTAAGATTTCCATGACACTGGTAAGTTTTAGTAACTTGATGTTTCTTTCTTCCTTTCTTCCTTTCTTTCCTTCTTTCCCCTCCTTCCCTCTCCCTTTCTTTCTAACAGTAGCTTTATTTCTAATGCCTTGTTTTCAGTTTCTGGGTGTGTGTGGGAGAGGGTGGGGGGGGTGATTTCTCTGCCTCCTCCATCATTATTCCTTCAGCTCCTACTTTAGAATTAATTAAAAGCTGAGGGCCTGGGCAAAGGACTGTTGATAAACTTGGAAGACAAATCAGAGGAAATGTCTTTGAGTTTAGATTTGATATTTTAAGTTCTTAAAA